AAACCCTTACAGACTGAGCCACTGCCACATCAAAACATGCTCAAAGAACCGTAGTATCTATCTTGATTTCTCGTCTCACCCTGAGGGCAGCGTCTCGCACAGACAAGCAGGGCGACAGGAGGCCTTCCAGCAGCACGTCGATCTCCTGCTGCTCCGCCACCGTGCAGCCGTCCTCTCCTCCGGCGCTCGAACACAACGCCGTCAGACACTGAGACGCCAACACCTGCAAACACATCTCAGGTTCTTCAGAATCATATAACCCCCTCTGGCTGGAAGAGACTTCTCCATAGCTCATTCTCAGTCTATTTTGAATAATCTTGAAGTTTTAGGGACTCAAACGTGTTCGTTCCTGAAAATGTCAGAAAATCATTCAACATCCTCGATGTCTATGAATAACCACACAAAATGATCCAAATGGCCATATCTTCTAAAAGGGTTAAATTAATAATCTTTGTTCTCAAAGCAACGATAAACCTGTGAGTTGGATGTAGAAGAGTCAGAATCAATATAGATGTTTTTATTTGAAAGTAAATTCAGATTGAACAAAGTAAAAAAATGTAAATGATTGTGTCTGTCCAAAAAATAAAACATTACTTAAAGTGAAAACCACCCTTGGATGATGGGATAGTACTAAAAGCTTTAGGAATCCAAACTATAACATGATGCATACCGGTATCCGGTATTACCGAAATACCGGTTACTGGTGGCTACGGTATACCGTACCGAAATCAGATCCGGTTTCGATACTTTGAAATTTTTCTAACAAAATTTCAAAAAAATAAAATAAATTTTTTTTGAATTTTATTTTCAAAGTGAGCCAGCCAATCAGATGGCGCGCCTTGCACCGGCTTCGGTGATAGGCTTGATTGCCAAGCAACGCTCGTCACCATCCTCCCGAACGTCTGAGCCTTTCGGTTAGCTGTCATTCTTACTAACTACTATTAGCTTGATGTCGGCACGGAAATCGAAAGTGTGGTTGCACATGACTGCCAGTTTGAATGGTGCGGCGTGTATGGACCCTGTATCAAGATTGATGCAAAACAAGTGACATTTGACCTTTTTAGAGAGATTTAGCAAAAGAAAACCACCTTTGGGGTCATTTGCCGTTTCTCTGGAACCCATTGGTCGATTTTGGTGATTGACACCTCTTTTTAACCGTCAGAGCCAATAGAATCGAAGGGCAAGTTCCACACACACGTTACCAATGAGGAGTGAGTGCGCACGCAGTCGAAAGCTATGTTACGCTCTGAAACCTGAAACCTAGGCTCAAACTAGTAAATATGAAGATGGATTATCAGGAATCATTTCAAAGCGACAGACACATTGGATTAACCATTGGGCTACGTGTTGTGATGTCTGTTTTCGCTTCCCCTGTCGCGAGTTCGGATCGCTCGGTGATGATACTAATATTTCTGGAATCTGTGGAATCTCATCTTGCTAATCGATATCTTGTTTGTGCAGATACGATAAGTAATAATGGGATTTAAGCTGTGAGTTCTGTGCTAAGTGCGATAGCATTTTTTCGCTCAGGGCTCATTTAGACGCTTCTTGTGAGACTTGTGTTTTGTTTCGGTAAAAATGGTTCGTATCGTCAGGTAGCTGAGTTTCTTCCCCTTAAGTGAGTATGGAACATTAATAGTTTCATAAATGTTAAGGAGCCCTGAGACACAGTTTCGTGAAAAGAAAAAGCCCCGTTCCCCCGCCTGCCTTAACAGGTTAATGCAACCTGTGCTAAATGTGAACGCTTTTAATTTGCAAAATCCCCTAAAATTGGTCTTAATTAATTAATCGTCTTATTTTTCTGTTGTTAACATTTGTCTTATTTGTTTACATCAATCCTCTTGCCTTTAACCTTCTTGTATTCTGTGGAATCATGTACATAACATGTATGTATCATGTGTTTATCATGTGTGTATCCATCATGTATGTTTTACCCTCTTACTCAAACTAAAATGTCATTTCATTTTGAGCCAAATGATTAAATCTCTTTTAGCTGCACGGTGTGTATGAGAAGTGCTGTACAAATAAAGCTTAATTATTATTCTTAGAAATAGTAGCAGTAGTAGATTTTTGAGTTTTAAATGCATTTAAATGTTGTTTACCTGGAGTCGGGGGGTGGCTGTGGAAATGACCCTGATGAGCAGCATCAGCATGCTCGTACGAGGAAGAAGCTCTGGGCCGTTCTGAGAAAAGCAAACGCACACAATTAGAACATAAATCTAAAAAACAAACCATCACAAAGATTTGTTTTAATTGGTACGACATTTAATCATACTCGTGTTTAAAAGTACTCTGGTGAAAGTAGAAGTACTGACTAAACTTCTTTACTCAAGTGAAAGTAAAGAGCTTTGAAATGTACTTCAGTAAAAAGTACCCATAACTAGCAGCTGCTTTAAAGAGTACCTGACCTCCCTTTATATTAATAGAACAATAATGTCATTGTTAGCTAATGAATGTTTCCATGCTGAACAACGGCAACATGACAACGTTTCCATTGGTCCCTCTTCTTTAGAGAAGACCAGGAAATGATGGATACACGGATCGTGTTCAAATCAATAGGCACGCAATGACTCTAAAGAATAATGAAATAAGGTATTTGTGTTCAACATGTAAGAAGTAGAAAGTTCAGGTATTTGAGTTCAACATGTAAGAAGTTAAAGTAAAAAGTCGTCAGAAAAATAAGTAGTGGAGTAAAGTACTGATACCAGAAACATGTACTTAAGAATAGTAACGAAGTATTTGTACTCCACTACTTCCCACCTCTGATAATGAGGAATTAAATCAACGTTTTTGCCATAACGTCTCGCTAACTTTCCCCACGCTATCTGTACCTCGTCTATCGTCATGTCGTCGCTGTCTGCGGCTGAGCGCAGCTGGCAGTGCTCGCTGATGACCTGCAGCGCTCGGATCAGCTGACTCTCCTCGTCCTCGCTGCTGCCAGAAGACTTCTTGACGACCGCGTTCAGGAGAGGGAAGCACACGGAGAACGCCGGAGCCGACAGTGGAGCCACATCTGAAGAAAAACAACAACACAAAGACACAGAAATCATTATTAGCAAGAAACCGACTCCGGGTCAGAGCAACAGATATGGTGTGGAATCTGTTTTGTATAATCATGAGTTTTTAAGCTCGTGAGTTATTCATTTAGTTTCCTGGAAAGATGCCCATCTATTTACATGTGTATAGACTTCTTGCACTATTTTTGTATTTTATTATATATGTTGCATTGTGGGAGGAGCTCAGGTCAGAAGAATTTCATTGCCTTTTCTCCACTTTGTGCAGATGACGATAAAACCTTAGAATCTTTTGAAAAGGTCAGTGGGTGAAATGTAGGGCTGCTCAATTAATCGTATTTTAATCACAATTACGATTTTGGCTTGCAACGATTATGAAAACATAATCGAAATAAAACGATTTTTCTTTTTTGTTATTATTTAAAAGAATATATATATTATTTTATTGGTTTTTCAATTGAATTATACTTAAAGTTCAGGGTAATCAACTGTTAAAAACATACTAGACATTTTTCAATAAATTGATGTTTTCAAAGTAAATGGATAATCGTTTTTAATAATCGTGATATCAATTATTGACCCAAATAATCGAGATTATGATTTTTGCCATAATCGAGCAGCCCTACTGAAATGTGTGTTTAGATATGGCGTTATTTGTCTGTCCTCACCGACAGTCTTTTTTCTCACATTACAACAACAGCTGTGCACGTACACTACAACCCAAACTAAATAAACAATGCAATACAGCTATAGATACAAATACAGAAATAACATTTTAAAAAATAAAACAAAGAAATGCAGTTGGGACGCGTCATGCGTGATATTGACATCGCAGGACATGTGATTTTTTTTCTTTTAAATCATTGTTTTTCCTTTTCTTTTTTTTTTTAGGACTTGCGATATTAAGTAGGCAAATGAACTCAAACAATTTATTTTTGCTGCTTGCTACAAAAGGAAAACTCGCGCGCCTCTCATGTCAGGGGTACTTGAGTGAGTGGCATGGCACAGCAAACCACCGATCACAACCATTCTTGATCAGATCACAGCAGGCTAACCGAGCTAGCTCAGCTTGTTGCTCTGATAACTTAAGATCCAGACGTCCGTGACTAAAATCCTTCATCCGGTTAAATATTGTTCAAAAAAATACCAATTGTATCATTAACGTTCAAGAAAGGATGGGACCAAAAAAACTGTCTTTTCTTCAATTCCTGTATTTTTTCATATCGCAAAATATATATCGCAATGTCAGTTTTTTCCAATTTCGTGCAGCCCTAGTTGGGAGTCACATTTTAATTGTCAGAACAGTTCCTCTCAATCAGTCCGTATTCCTTCTCACTGATTTGAATCTTAAACATTGACCATTTCTCTTCATATTGTGTTTCTTGCAGTCGATATGTCAGTTTTTCCATTATATGAATTTCCTCCACGATCTCTATCCACTGCTCCACAGTAGGAGGCTCCACCTTGCACCATGTCCTAGCTATGGCTTTCTTGCTATCAACAGTATATCTATCTATCGTGAACATTTCCCTCTGTAAAATTGTCCAGATAAAGTACCATCTAATCCATAAAGGAAACTCATATCTAATATATAATATGTATATATGACCCAAATGTTCATCTTAATTCATTTCTTATTTTAAAGTTACTTACCTGTATGTAATTTTATTTTGATCTTTAATTGTATTAATCTCTAATCTGTGCGGTCCTGTTTTACCCCGTGGCTGTTTAAACTACTGAATTTCCCCACGGGGATTAATAAGGGTCCATCTCATTTCATATCTCAGTATCTTTTGCAGAACCTTGTGTACCGATTCCCAAAGCGTAAGTCTTTGTTGGCATCCTCACCGGCCGTCTTGTTGTCTCTCTGAGGGACGGTGTGATGGTGCAGCAGTAAAATGGTGCGATTTGCAGCCGTCTCCAGATCCTCCTGCTCCCAGGCCGGGTCCAGATCACACTCGGGCTTCAGCAGGCGTAAAGTCACATGACCCACAAGCTCGGCTGGAAGGAAGCATAACAAAAAAATCAGATTTTTCTTTTCAATACTATCAAGTGGTAAATGGACTGTACTTATATAGCGCTTTATCCCGTCTTTACGACCCCTCAAAGCGCTTTACATACTACATGTCATTCACCCATTCACACCCTATCAACATATGACACTAAAGGAGGCGTGCAGTACTGTTGGGAAAATACTGAGTGTCCTCTTTCAATATCAAAGTCCACACGATAACAAAGGTATCTCAACTGTAGCTGTGAACATGACAGGATGTGTGATTACCTAGAAGAGCATCAGGACTGTTTGAGGCAGATGATAGCTATGTGATTAACATGATGATTCAGCCTCTATGGAGAGAGACATCAAGCATGCTCATTTCTGACGTGGAGCTAATCTGAAGTAAACATTGAATACTGCTTTCTCTGTATGTGATGACTACTACCATTCTGGAGAAGATCACAGATACATGGATCCTGAGATTGAAGATCAAGATTTTGAGAAAAAGTCAGAATTTTGAGAAAAAGTCAATTTTTTAGAAAAAGTCAGAATTTTGAGAAAAAGTCAAATTTTGAGAAAAAAGTCAGAATTTTGAGATTTTTTGAAAAATACCAAATAATTCTCTTTTTTGTTTTGACTACTTCCATTCTTGAGAGGATCACAAATACATGGATCCTGAGATTGAAGCCCGGTGACGAATGATTATTAACATTTTTGAGATTTTGAGAAAAGTCAGGATTTTGAGATAAATTCATAATTTTGATTTTTTTTTTTTTTCATAATTTTGAGAAAGTTAGGTTGTATGATTAACTACAAGAACCGGTATTCCTCCATCTTGTGACTGTGCAACTCCCTCTCTTGGATATCAGCATGTGAAGGACACTGTTCAGGAACTAGTTGATGCTCTGTATGTGATGACTCCTTCCATTCTGGAGAGGATCACAGATACATGGATCCTGAGGCTGAAGCTCAAGCCGGGGACCAGGGATATTTTTCTAACAAGTACCTAGGAAGTGGAAGTGTTTGGGCATGAGGCAGCAGGCGATGTCCAGGTAGACCCTCAGGAGTCGAGGAGCAGCGAGGGGGGAGGGCAGCAGGGGGAGGAGCACCTGGAGAACAGCCGGCAGCTCCATCGTGATCTCAGAGGGTTTCTCTATCAGAGCGGCTTCAAGAAGACCCACCGCGCTCTGCAGATCTGAGTCCAGCTGGGGGGGGAACACACCACGGATCAACAGAGAGGAGAGATAAGGAAGGTGAGGATTAGAGAGGGTTCCTGGTGACATTGGGTCGTACCAGCTGGAGCCTCTTCCGGATCGAAGCCTCTCGGTCCTGCTGGGCCTGGATCATCTCCTTCTGTTTGCTGGACAGCTGCAGCTCCTCTTTGATGCCTTTCTTCTTATTCAGCTCCTGCAACATCATCGAGAAGTCAAAATGAGTTCCAGACATTAACACGACCTATGAACTGACTAGGAGTGTCTGAAATTAAAACTGATTAATATCTAAAATAAACAAAGATGATGGTTAGTTACCGCCTGTAACTCCAGCTCGATGATCTGCTCCTTGTAGGAATACGCCTTGTTCTCTCTCTTCATGTTGCCTTTCTTTGTGGTTTCCTTTGAGGCGCTGCAGAAAGAGAGAGGAAGACAGAAGTTACTAAATGACAAATATAGTGGTCTCAATGTTTATGTTACCGCTAAGCTAAAGGTGGCTAATGTTGGGCTATAAAGGAACTACAGCACGTCACATGACTTCACGTCACCACCGCTAAGCTAAAGGTGGCTAATGTTGGGCTATAAAGGAACTACAGCACGGTCACATGACTTCACGTCACCACCGCTAAGCTAAAGGTGGCTAATGTTGGGCTATAAAGGAACTACAGCACGGTCACATGACTTCACGTCACCACCGCTAAGCTAAAGGTGGCTAATGTTGGGCTATAAAGGAACTACAGCACGGTCACATGACTTCACGTCACCACCGCTAAGCTAAAGGAGGCTAATGTTGGGCTATAAAGGAACTACAGCACGTCACATGACTTCACGTCACCACCGCTAAGCTAAAGGCGGCTAATGTTGGGCTATAAAGGAACTACAGCACGTCACATGACTTCACGTCACCACCGCTAAGCTAAAGGCGGCTAATGTTGGGCTATAAAGGAACTACAGCACGTCACATGACTTCACGTCACCACCGCTAAGCTAAAGGTGGCTAATGTTGGGCTATAAAGGAACTACAGCACGTCACATGACTTCACGTCACCACCGCTAAGCTAAAGGCGGCTAATGTTGGGCTATAAAGGAACTACAGCACGGTCACATGACTTCACGTCACCACCGCTAAGCTAAAGGTGGCTAATGTTGGGCTATAAAGGAACTACAGCACGTCACATGACTTCACGTCACCACCGCTAAGCTAAAGGAGGCTAATGTTGGGCTATAAAGGAACTACAGCACGTCACATGACTTCACGTCACCACCGCTAAGCTAAAGGAGGCTAATGTTGGGCTATAAAGGAACTACAGCACGTCACATGACTTCACGTCACCACCGCTAAGCTAAAGGAGGCTAATGTTAGGCTATAAAGGAACTACAGCACGGTCACAAAACCTTAAAATCTCTTCAGCTTGTGTTAACCACAGACCTAAGTTCAGGCTAAAATGCTGACTCATTCCCGCACCACTCAGAGAGTTGACCGTGGTATGAGTGTGTGTGTGTTACCTCTGGATGATGCTGTTGTCGTACAGCTCTCCCTCGGGGGTCAGCATGATGGCGTACTCCTCCCTGGTGACGTGGAGCAGAGCGGGGCGAGTGAGCCCCTCGATCACATGACTCATGACTCTGGGTAACACTTTGGTGGGGGACAGACCACAGAGAGCACCGACTGCATTTTTCCCCGCCTGAGGAGAGAAACATTGACATCATGAATACAAAGCCAAGAGCTGTGTGTGTCATTCTCATGTAAATGCATCAAAAGGAAACATCTTCTTCTAAACAAGCTGTGTTTCAATACTGCTACTTAAACTTAAATAAAACACAGAACATCTTCTTACACTTTATATAAAACACATCTTTGATCATCAAAACGGAAATACAGTTACATTACAAATAACATGTGTGTGTTTTCCTGTTAGACATGTCTTTAACCCCATCTGTGTGTGCGTGTGTGTGTGTTTCTGTGTGTGAGTGTTTCTGTGTGTGTGTGTGAGTAAGTGTGTGTGTGAGTAAGTGTCTGTGTTTCTCTCTGTGTGTTTGTGTGATCTTCTGTGTGTGTGTGTGTGTGTGTGTGTGTGTGTGTGTATATTTCTCTGTGTGTTTCTCTGTGTGTGTGAGTAAGTGTGTGTGTTTGTGTGTATGTGTCTTTGTGTGTGTGTTTCTCTGTCTGTCTGTGTGTGTGTGTGTGTGTGTGTGTGTGTGTGTGTGTGTGTGTGTGTGAGAGAGTAAGTGTGTGAGTAAGTATGTGTGTTTCTCTGTCTGTCTGTGTGTGTGTGTATGTGTGTGTATGTTTCTCTGTGTGTGTGTGTGTGTGTGTGTGTGTGTGTGTGTGTGTTTCTCTGTGTGAGTGTTTCTGTGTGTTTGTGTGAGTAAGTGTCTGTGTTTCTCTCTGTGTGTTTGTGTGATCTTCTGTGTGTGTGTGTGTGTGTGTCTTTGTGTGTGTGTTTCTCTGTCTGTCTGTCTGTGTGTGTGTGTGTTTCTCTGTCTGTGTGTGTGTGTGTGTGTGTGTGTGTGTGTGTGTGTGTGTGTGTGTTATTTACAGACCTGGTTGTCAGCGTTGACCTCCAGGAGTCGTGGCAGAATGTCCTCCAGATTCTTCTCTATGAACTCTTCTGGTTTTATGTTCATGGAGTGCAGCAGGTAGGGCCAGATGGCGTTGCGAACCTCAACTGGAAGAGACGAGGAGCAGATCAAATGTCAGATATTGGAAGTGGGTGGTTTAAACCGGTGCAGAAGGTTGAATGAGCCGAATGTTGTAATTTACAACCCAATATTCATAGTAATGCCATTTGCCATTACAACTTTGAAGCACCAAATGTATTATAGGCATATCATTTATTATAAAAATCTTTTTTCATTAGTATGTAGTGTCTCTACTTTAAAGAGTCCTCTCCTGCTGATGTTCAGGTGTATATCAGTATGTAGTGTCTCTACTTTAAAGAGTCCTCTCCTGCTGATGTTCAGGTGTATATCAGTATGTAGTGTCTCTACTTTAAAGAGTCCTCTCCTGCTGATGTTCAGGTGTATATCAGTATGTAGTGACTCTACTTTAAAGAGTCCTCTCCTGCTGATGTTCAGGTGTATATCAGTATGTAGTGTCTCTACTTTAAAGAGTCCTCTGCTGCTGATGTTCAGGTGTATATCAGTATGTAGTGTCTCTACTTTAAAGAGTCCTCTCCTGCTGATGTTCAGGTGTATATCAGTATGTAGTGTCTCTACTTTAAAGAGTCCTCTCCTGCTGATGTTCAGATGTATATCAGTATGTAGTGTCTCTACTTTAAAGAGTCCTCTCCTGCTGATGTTCAGGTGTATATCAGTATGTAGTGTCTCTACTTTAAAGAGTCCTCTCCTGCTGATGTTCAGGTGTATATCAGTATGTAGTGTCTCTACTTTAAAGAGTCCTCTCCTGCTGATGTTCAGGTGTATATCAGTATGTAGTGTCTCTACTGTGACATGTCTTCATGCTTTAATGTTCAAAAAGCTCTTTATTTTTCTCATACTTTTCACCCTCCGTCTGAAACCAGTCAGCTCTGATTGGTTAGCTCGTCGGCTCTGTTGTGATTGGTCAACCTTTTAGAGATGTCCAGCCCCTTAGCCTATCACGTACAATGTCTTGAAACACTAAAAGTGCTAGCGTTAAACTTTCCCCCTCACCTATGGATGGATGATGGGCGACTATGAGGGTCTCCATGGCTATTTTCTCGGCTTCGTTGGAGTCTCCCCATTGGCTGGTGGAGGAGCAGACCAAACACAGAGCGTCCAATAGGACTCGAGGAGGGTTGTAGCTCCGCCCCATCTCCGTCAGCTCTCCGGTCTCCGACACCAGGACGTCCTGCGGCAACACCTGAGAAATGACATCACACACTGTCAGTAACTAACATCATAGAGAGGATGGAGAAAAGCAGGATTCACTTCAAATCCTCTAAGTGTGTGTAAGTGTGTGTGTGTGTGTGTGTGTGTGTGTGTGTGTATCCATCTTTAGTTTAATAATTTGTTGCAGTTTTACTTCCTACTTCCTGTTTCTTCCTCATGTGAAAACCCCTGATCGATGGTAAATAACAGTGTGTGTGTACTTTGTGTTTGTTGATGACGACGCGCAGTTCTCCCAGAAGGCCGTGCGCCAGGCTGGACCCTCCGTGAGAGGAGAGCAGCTTCCGGACCGTCTGCTGCGCGCGCTTCCTCACTCGATAGCTGCGAGACAGAATCACTGCAACTGTGGCGCGATGATACATGCTGCAGGAGGAAAACAGAGGAGAAATAAAACCGGGATTAAAGGAGAAATCTGCACAAAAACATTAAACGCAGGTTGAAGGAAGAAATAACTTCTGATTAAAGCATGACAGGATTCAAGTAAGAGACAAATCTGTAGTATTATCTGCACTGTCCACTACTGTGCCCTGTGGATACAGAATACGGATCAAATGTGTATATTCATCTTCCATATTGGTAGTTTGTTACCAACAGGAAAACTATCAAATCATTGGTTTAGAAAATCTAATTTAACTAGTGCAGTTTAATCTCATTCATCAAGTCGTATGATCGCTTCTTTACTAACACACGACTTTGCACTACGGCTGTCCCGAATACCATTTTTTGGGCTCCGGATATTCGGTAGTAATCAGCAGCGAATATTCTAATATTCAGCGTGCGCGGGGGGGGCGTAGTAATCAGCAGTGAACCGCTTCAACTCGTGTATTTCGGTTTATTCACGGCAGTCATTTTGTTATTTGTTAATGTAACCCAATGTGTGTTCTTTGAAATTGAAAAGGATATCGCATTGTGTTTGTTCCTATCGTTGCAGTTGTATATCTTAAGTGTAATTTGGCTTGGCTTCCTATTTTGTATGGACATGCTTTTATTTTGAAGGAGAGTTAGCACTGTTGACAGGAAGTTGTTGTTGCTATGGAAACAATGCGACGGAGATTAACGGAGAAAAAGTTATATCTACATATAAAGACGGAGAAAGTAAACGATAACGTTTATGGTTAAGTGTTAGCACCCCCCGAAGAGGCACAAGCTCTTACATTGATATTGGAGTTTTCAATAAATTCCAAGAACAAAAAAAATATATCCGAATAACGAAATAGAAACCCGAATAGTACTCCAACGAACGAATATTCGGGTACAGCCCTACTTTGCACCAGATCTTTAATATTAAAACACTCTGGACTTTTACACATCGAAAAGCATGCCTGTTCAAATGTGAGCGTTTGTTTAAGATGAGTTCCTGACTGAGTTAGTTTGAAGGTCTCCACATGTTTTAAACAGAAGGACAGACTCACTGTGATTGGCTGTTGTTAAACCGGTGAGCGTGATCCAGGAAGAGCCTCTCACAGAGCTGCAGCACGGTGAGCAGAGCTGCAGGGAAAACACAGGAACATCAATTCATGTCTTTATATTTATCACTTTATCAGAGGGGGGAAGTAGTGGAGTACAAATACTTCGTTACTGTACTTAAGTACATGTTTCTGGTATCAGTACTTTACTCCACTACTTACTTTTCTGACGACTTTTTACTTTGACTTCTTACATGTTGAACTCAAATACCTGTACTTTCTACTTCTTACATGTTGAACACAAATACCTGTACTTTCTACTTCTTACATGTTGAACTCAAATACCTGTACTTTCTACTTCTTACATGTTGAACTCAAATACCTGTACTTTCTACTTCTTACATGTTGAACTCAAATACCTGTACTTTCTACTTCTTACATGTTGAACTCAAATACCTGTACTTTCTACTTCTTACATGTTGAACTCAAATACCTGTACTTTCTACTTCTTACATGTTGAACTCAAAAACCTGTACTTTCTACTTCTTACATGTTGAACTCAAATACCTGTACTTTCTACTTCTTACATGTTGAACTCAAATACCTGTACTTTCTACTTCTTACATGTTGAACTCAAATACCTGTACTTTCTACTTCTTACATGTTGAACCCAAATACCTGTACTTTCTACTTCTTACATGTTGAACACAAATACCTGAACTTTCTACTTCTTACATGTTGAACACAAATACCTGTACTTTCTACTTCTTACATGTTGAACTCAAATACCTGTACTTTCTACTTCTCACATGTTGAACTCAAATACCTGTACTTTCTACTTCTTACATGTTGAACTCAAATACCTGTACTTTCTACTTCTTACATGTTGAACTCAAAAACCTGTACTTTCTACTTCTTACATGTTGAACCCAAATACCTGTACTTTCTACTTCTTACATGTTGAACACAAATACCTGAACTTTCTACTTCTCACATGTTGAACTCAAATACCTGTACTTTCTACTTCTTACATGTTGAACATAAATACCTGTACTTTCTACTTCTTACATGTTGAACATAAATACCTGTACTTTCTACTTCTTACATGTTGAACTCAAATACCTGTACTTTCTACTTCTTACATGTTGAACACAAATACCTGTACTTTCTACTTCTTACATGTTGAACTCAAATACCTGTACTTTCTACTTCTCACATGTTGAACACAAATACCTGTACTTTCTACTTCTTACATGTTGAACTCAAATACCTGTACTTTCTACTTCTTACATGTTGAACTCAAATACCTGTACTTTCTACTTCTTACATGTTGAACACAAATACCTGTACTTTCTACTTCTTACTTGTTGAACACAAATACCTGTACTTTCTACTTCTTACATGTTGAACACAAATACCTGTACTTTCTACTTCTTACATGTTGAACACAAATACCTGTACTTTCTACTTCTTACATGTTGAACCCAAATACCTGTACTTTCTACTTCTTACTTGTTGAACACAAATACCTGTACTTTCTACTTCTTACATGTTGAACACAAATACCTGTACTTTCTACTTCTTACATGTTGAACTCAAATACCTGTACTTTCTACTTCTTACATGTTGAACACAAATACCTGTACTTTCTACTTCTTACATGTTGAACACAAATACCTGTACTTTCTACTTCTTACATGTTGAACTCAAATACCTGTACTTTCTACTTCTTACATGTTGAACACAAATACCTGTACTTTCTACTTCTTACATGTTGAACTCAAATACCTGTACTTTCTACTTCTTACATGTTGAACTCAAATACCTGTACTTTCTACTTCTCACATGTTGAACTCAAATACCTGTACTTTCTACTTCTTACATGTTGAACACAAATACCTGTACTTTCTACTTCTTACATGTTGAACTCAAATACCTGTACTTTCTACTTCTTACATGTTGAACTCAAATACCTGTACTTTCTACTTCTTACATGTTGAACCCAAATACCTGTACTTTCTACTTCTCACATGTTGAACACAAATACCTGTACTTTCTACTTCTTACATGTTGAACCCAAATACCTGTACTTTCTACTTCTCACATGTTGAACTCAAATACCTGTACTTTCTACTTCTTACATGTTGAACTCAAATACCTGTACTTTCTACTTCTTACATGTTGAACACAAATACCTGTACTTTCTACTTCTTACATGTTGAACTCAAATACCTGTACTTTCTACTTCTTACATGTTGAACACAAATACCTGTACTTTCTACTTCTTACATGTTGAACTCAAATACCTGTACTTTCTACTTCTTACATGTTGAACTCAAATACCTGTACTTTCTACTTCTCACATGTTGAACTCAAATACCTGTACTTTCTACTTCTTACATGTTGAACTCAAATACCTGTACTTTCTACTTCTTACATGTTGAACTCAAATACTTGTACTTTCTACTTCTCTCATTTCCCAAACAGCTGGTTCCTTTAGTCTGAATGTGTGTTTGATGCGTGATCATTATTCTTTAGAGTCATTGCGTGCCTATTGATTTGAACACGATCCGTGTATCCATCATTTCCTGGTCTTCTCTAAAGAAGAGGGACCAATGGAAACGTTGTCATGTTGCCGTTGTTCAGCATGGAAACATTCATTAGCTAACAATGACATTATTGTTCTATTAATATAAAGGGAGGTCAGGTACTCTTTAAAGCAGCTGCTAGTTATGGGTACTTTTTACTTTAGTACATTTCAAAGCCTCTTTACTTTGACTTTAAGAAGTTTAGTCAGTACTTCTACTTTTACCAGTATTTTTAAACACGAGTATCTGTCCTTCTACTTGAGTGAAGGATGTGTGTACTTTTGCTATAGCTTTTACGCTATTAAGATATATATGGCCTTACTCTCGTCGTTGGCCTGAGAGAGGAACTTCTCTGTGGTGAGCAGCGGCTTCTTCTCATCCAAGATCAGGCTCCAAAAGTTGGAGAACTTCGACTCTGCAGAGAAGAAATACAGAAATAAAATCACGTTACAGCCTTGCATGCTCCAATGAGTGAACGATATTAATCGCCAAGACGCCAGAAGGCCACGGTGATATAACACAAATCCAATACTATGACATTTTTTACCAGATACGTCAATAATGTGACAGTATTTTAGGGTTTACGATTGGTGCTTAAACTAAATTAATAATTTTGAAATGACAAAGAAAAATAGTAGAACAGTTAGACTGGTATTACATTAACTATCAACGTTGCACATTTCTGTTCATTGCTACCTCTTATATCTGAGAAATCATTTTATTTTCCATATTCCTGTTTTTACTATTTTTTGTATATTTATATGCCTTTTCTTTAAATGTTATATTATATTTTCTAGTAATTTTATATTTTCTCCTATTTTAAAACCTTATTTCTTTGACTGTGTTTATGTGTGCATCATTACACACCAGAGCAAATCCCTTGTATGTCTAAACCAACTCTGATTCTGATGATTAACTTACTTAACTAAAATGCAGTCTTTCAAACCAGGATAAAAAAATTACGATTTCGACAATTTAAGACGATATCTAGTCTTATAATATTAATATAATACATATCCCCTCACCTGACTGTGTCTCCAGCAGGGCGAGACGACTCAACAGAACCGACGCTGCCACGCCTTCTGAAAGCAGTGCATGCTGGGAGTTTTGTGCCGCGGCCTTCTCCACGGTTTGCAGGAGCAACGGCACGAGGTCTGAGGCCTGAGCCAGAGTGTCTCCTGAAGAGAAGACGGAGGAAAGGTGGATTTAGATCAAGTTCAATTAAAGGTCTCGTATTATAAAAGGCATTTATTATAAGTCTCAGATATATACAGATATATATGTTTTGCTCAAAATACCAAGCAGATCGTCTCTATTTCAGCCCTCCTACTAAAGTGCTGATTCTGGGTCTGTAGCTTTAAAAAATATATATGCCATATCATGTTCTAAACCACATCAAGGATTATTTCTGAAACAGTCTGGAGCTCAAAGGCTTTCTCTCTTGTCGGTTATACCACAAGGTGAGTTCCTTTCATTTCCTGCTTCTTCACACACATGCTCTCCAGTACAGGTTAGCTCTGTGTGTTAGCGATGCTAATGTAAACACCGACCATATTACGTCCAAAACAGTCGGGCATTGTTTCTGATAGCAACGTTTCTGATTGGGCCGTGGGTCCACATTTCAGATATTACGTCACATCGGACGCAAATCTGGATCAGCTCCGTTGATCCCCGTTTTTAGAGATTTGGGTACGGAGGAAAAGAGAGAGGGTTTTATTTTGAGTTCCCTGACACACCGGGGGACACATATTGATGTATAAAAGACATCAAAAAGTGAATGTTGCATGATAGGTCCCCTTTAAGAAATACTGACACGTTTCTGGACAGGATAAATAAAGCTTTTTGGGTATTTTTGTACAAATTCTACGTTTGAAACCCTGCATGTAAAACTCTTATTTTGTCTGTATGGAGCATAGTGACGGACCTCTGAAGGCCCCCAGCAGGGTCTGCAGGTAGGCGTGTCTCACGGAGGAGGTGGAGGTCTTCAGGCTGAACGCTTTCTTCAGCCAGTCCAGCAGGGTGGAGGGAACTTCCACCGTGAGGCGGCCGCTCCACTGAGAGAGCACCGACACCGCGTGGACCAGCGTGCCCTCGTGAACTACAGAGACACAGAGGAGTTAGATAGTGAGCGAGGGCTGCAACACAAGCGTAGTAAAATCACAAGAGACTTCATATTTCTGCATTTAGATATTTAAATATAAGAGCATATATCGGTATCCGGCCTAAATGAGTTAAAATAACAGCGACAAAAATCTCTCTTATCAATATATATAATATAAGTTGATTGATGATAGAATACATTTCTGATATTTCATTTTGAAGTAATTTTTCGTGCAGAAAATGCTTCTAACAATAATCAAGAACAATGCTTAATACCCTCTTATAAATCTAATTATTATTAAAATATGTGGGTACGTGCAATCAGACAAAATGACACCAGGGTTCAAACACTTTTTCACCAATGCTTCTCCAGGACCTTTACCTAATTTTCCATGACTTCTCCAGGACCTTTAGCTAATTTTCCATGACTTCTCCAGGACCTTTACCTAATTTTCCATGACTTCTCCAGGACCTTTACCTAATTTTCCATGACTTCTCCAGGACCTTTACCTAATTTTCCATGACTTCTCCAGGACCTTTACCTAATTTTCCACGACCAAAAACATTACTCTTTCTCAGCGTACCACTGGAAATGTTTTATTTTAACATGGAACAGGAAGATAAGGTCTGCATATGAAACATGTTGTGCCTCTAAAACAAATCCAATAGTAGGCTTACTAGCTCCTACAGCTACTAACTAAAATCTCTCACCAGCAAAACACCTCGTCAGTTAAATGCCATTTTACATTTCATTACTATACGATACAGTATTTATTATCATTAAAGTATTACTATTTTGGCGATTAGATAAAATATAAATTATATTTGATGCAACTTTATCTACATTTCCATGACTTTTCTAAAACGTTGGGGAAAATATTGTTTTCCAAAACTTTTCCAGGGCCTGGAATTAGCATTTTGAATTTCCATGACTTTCCCAGGTTTTGAGAAAGAACCCTGTGACATGCAACGAAAAAACAATTCCCAAATTGGGATTAATAAAGTACATTTGATCTCATTTCCTATTAAAGTGAACATGTTTTGGTTTTGGATTGAACAAAGTGGATTTAAAGATATAAAGACGTCACCTTGGATTTGAGAAACTGGGTTGCCCTTTTTTTACCAAGCAAATAAGAAAACAATCAACAGATGAATCGATAATGGCAATAATACTTCTAGTCGCTTCATCATCCCTCGTTATTAACAAGAACATTTCTAGGGATGCACGACAATATCTGCAAATGACCCAGAGATTACGGCTCATCAAAGCAGGATGAATTTCTCACTGTTCATCTTGAAAAGCATCGTCTGTTTAAGGCGAGACACCCCAGGTGAATAGGGTAATTTTTTTAACTTAAAGGTATCAGCTAGACATTTATCCAGTTAATTACTTACAATAAGGCAATTGTCTTTTGTATTACAAGTTTTCTGAAATAGCAGTTTGAATATGCAAATTAATCCATTATCTCATTAAATATGCGCATATTTTAACACATTTCAGGAATCGAAATATGAACTTTGGATAAAGCCAGATTCTAAATTATTGTTTCATTTTGTAGTCATATTAGCATCTAAGGCTTTTACAGAAGGGATTTTGGATATCTCTTTTTATCACTCCATAAATCAGAACATACTGTCAACAGCCCTAAAATATCCATTTTCGCCATGTGTTTAGGTATACAATGTTGTATAATTCAGGCTATGAATTATATATGAACAAACCCTTCTGTAAAAGCCTTCATAATATTGATAGGAATGTAACTGGAAGGTTTGGTGTATGTACGTGCTACTGAAGTTGAAATTTCGAACTCAGAGTAGGAGAAACAACTCATTTTGAGAAAACGACCTTTAAAGATTGCAGTGAGGCGCTAGCTAAACCCTCCTGTTCTTTGGATGACAGTTTGCGCATCGACGCACTCCGTGAAGGTATTTCATGTTCAGGGTCATTTGTTTTTTGTATAACCTTGCTTCGTGCAAGTGACAATTGTTGTCGTCTTCTCTGTGAACGTTTCTTTTGCCATTTTTAGATTTCAATTTCTAGCTGAAAGCTAACCAGGAAGTGTTTTAGCACACCACGTGACGCATCTGAACGAATCACGTTGTCATAAATTGACACCAGCCAATGAGATTTCGTTTCTTGGTTTAAGACCCCTTTGTGCTTTCACGATTGGTTGCTGATACAAAGGAAATGACCATATTTGGATCCGATGCGATTGTGCAGGAGAGACGGAGCTTTCCAGCGATACCTCTGTTGACATGGTGCAAACAGCGGTCGCGGTACTTTATGTTACGTTAGAAAGCTAACTTTTGGTGAATTTAGGAGAAACCTACAGACGCAAATAGACAAACTATAGTCAAATAAACACTTAAATGTGTATTTTGTACGTTTTCCTTCCAAAAGCCTGAAAGAAAACATGTTATAGAATCAAAATAGCACAACATCTCAAAATTGACCTGTACTTGAAAAACGATGTTTTTGCCTGCCGTGTCTCGCCTTAAAGTGTAGTAATATGTTAAATCCATACCTTCCTGCTGGAGGTAAGGGATGAACATCACAGCGACCGCAGAGCTCAGCGTCTGGCTCGATGTTCCCGACACGGAGTGATGGCTGCAGCTGGAGATGCCTGAAAACAAGGTGCACGTTTCAAATAAGCATAGACATCCCATAATAAGTGTTTGCAATGCAAGGCTTCTTACCTGACAACACACACATCTTCTGGGCAACGACGGTGAGCTTTCCCTCGGACCCTGCAAACACAGGAAGCATAAAAACATTGTTAGGCGTGAGTTTATTCATATTGCACAATCCAATATTAAGATATAGGGAAACAGAAATACATTTTTAAATGACTTTTAACAACCGTAATGAAACAAGCGAAGAGTTAACCTAAAATAAAACCAGCTAAAGTAATGTCAAGACAGTTTAGAGCAGTGTTTCTCAAACTTTTTCAAACCAAGGACCAAGCACTTAACCAATAAAAAAACACTTGCGGACCACCTAACTCCACAAATATCCAAAAGCACATCATTTTTCTAGAACAGATTACAAATCGCCTGAAAATGGTACAAACAAGTGGCGACATGTGTGACGAAGGTGTTGCGCTGGGCTATATCATGCAATCGAAAGTGAAACATAAGCTCGCTCCAGTGCGGAGATATTCCCACGAGAGTGCGGAAAACTTAAATGTATTTATTTATTTCAAATGTGAAATTTTACCAATATACTCACGGACCACTAGGGGGCGCTCACGGACCACACTTTGAGAAGCACTGGTTTAGAGACAGTAAAACACCGTAACTACTGGAAAAACACCAAATATAACGTTTTGGTGATACGTTTATAATCGGCCTTTTCAAACAGGACAAGTATTTATCGCCTTTGGCTCGTTCTCGGAGCCTTTAGGCGCAATGCTAATGCAGTTCTGGGGTTTTAAACCTGCATATAAGCACTAATTTTGGGGTGTATTAAAGGTTATTGTTTGAGTATTATTCAGTATTTATTTTACTTTGAGAGTTTAAAAGGAAGACTCAATGAGAGACACATTCAAAAACTATTAATGGTGCAATTTACACTTTTTATAAACCAGGAATTGCGGTGCATTTTCGACGTCAATCACGTAGAAATCCCCCACGAAGACATACTCGTCCACTGACACAGGAAACAACTCGTCCACTGTGTTTAAATCTCTTGCATTTAGCACTGATTCAGGTGAACTGTACCCCCGAGGATCTGGAAGAGGTGCGTGACGATGTCCTGCACGGCGGACGGATCGCTGCACTGCTTCGCCAGGTTCTGCATGGCCTGCACCGCCTCCTCCGCCAGCTGCACGTTGTTCGCCTTCAGCTGGCCTGAGACACACAGCACAGACATATATTACAACACACACACCTTCCAAATCACACCCTCATGACCGCCGAGTGCATGCTTCAGGGATTTGTTCCAGATGTAAACAAAACTAAATAAACAAGCGTCGTTTGAGGTCTTACTTGCGATGGCTTTTCCGATATCCATGGCGTACTGACTGAGGTCCAGAGTCAGAGCCGAGATCAGGCAGGAAACCGCTGCAGAGAAACCAGAACACGTTCTTATTAGTACCGTCCACGATTTAAATAAAACAATAACCAATCTGTGATAAGTCATAATGTCACGTGGCAGCAGAGGTTGCGCTAGACTTTTTACAGGATCGTGACATTTCCGTCAAAATCTATTATAACCCGTCGGGCTGTACACAACTCTGCCGGGGGGGGGGGGGCACTCGCTCGTGAACTGTTAGCGCCGTGTTATGCATGCCCACTGCACCTCGCAGCTTGTACTCACAGACATTTGAATGATCTGATCGGCAAAGTCAGGTCTGGAAACTGTTATTTCTCTCAACCTTCAAATCCTGCCTGAAAACCCACCTTTTAAAACTAGAGTATTCTATATCATAATTCCTCTAAACTGATTGTTGTTAAGACTTAGTTTTTTAAGTCTTAATTACCCTCTGTAAGGTGTCCTTGAGAGCTTTGAAAATAGTGCAAGATAATGTTGCAAATGACCATCATATATCGTAGGCATGCATAATAACACCGGAGCCCGGCTGCGGGGAAACTTGCTGCTCTGAGTTTGTTCTGATCCGTCAAAACCACGGACGGCTTTCAGATTTTTCCGTCATTATTAAAAAAAAAAACGTCATAGACGGAAAATATTGGGTTAACGCGACCTCTGCGTGGCAGGGAAATAGTTGCTGCGCGGTTTAAGAAGGCCCAGCGCTACAAATCAATGATTTCAGTAAGCTGAGGAAGTTTGGAAAGACTCAATCTAATTCCGGTTCCCACTCCCCTCAGCCTGCTGTGCATGAAAGTGAGGATATTGATGACCTGATGAGTCGGAGGAGTGGAACAGTTTGTCGACCAGGAAACAAATATGACTTGAACTATGACTTGTGTTTTGAGGGTCGATTTTAAGTGTTTTCAAGTCAAAATCTTTTGTTTAGAGACGCTTTCTTGAACTGCTTATCGTTCTGGATCGCATGTCACCAGCCTCGCTCAGTGGAAGGTTTGAGAGCCACAATATTCAGGGTTCATTTACATTTCTAATTTAGTCGATGCTCCGGAAAGGACGTATCTAAAACAATGGTTCGGAAAGCGTCTCACTCGGCGTTCTCAGGGATGTTTAAGTGTTAAAATCACAAAGGTATTGATGTAATCTTTGCTTTACTGCATGCTCTGCGGACATTAAGTCCAAATGGAGAGACATTCTGATCATTATTTCCAGAGGCAGAAGCGATGATACAATCGGTTATGGGAAACTAGACGTATATTATATTATTATTAGGGCGACTGTGGCTGCGAGGGAGTGCGGTCGTCTTTCAACCAGAAGGTTGTGGGTTCGATCCCAGCCCGTGCAGACAACATGTCGATGTATCCTTGGGCAAGATACTTAACCCTGAGTTGCTCCCGATGGCCAACGGTGTGTGAATGTTAGGTCCTAGAGTAAGTGGTACCGCTCTGTATGAATGGGTGTGAATGGGTGAATGACATGTAGTATGTAAAGCGCTTTGAGGGGTCGTAACGACTGGATAAAGCGCTATATAAGTACAGTCCATTTACCATTAAAGTTAAAAACACATGTTCTTTGTTCCATGTCTCTTGGGGGTTTGTCCCACTGCTAGTATGCAGAGTTTAGCTCATTTGAATGAATGCACCAGCAGGGGTTTGGCTTCTTAAATAGCTAATATCCCTGCTCTTCTCTTGGTGTTCGCAGTGTGTTTCTTGTGTAGGTCTGAGTGTGGAGAGGTCTCACTCTGCATGGCGTTCTCGGGGCTCCTCAGCATGGTTTTCTGCAGAGTCGGGAGCAGCAGGTCTTTGAACTCCGAGTGAGAAACGTGACGCAGGAAGGAGCTGCTTCGGTCCAGGATGTGCTGCTGGGGCTTGGTTTTACTCATGAGGACCGACTTGATGTACAGGTCCAACACGGCACTCTGGAACACACAGCATATAAACTCTCATTACATTCACTTCACAATTACTTGCCCCTTTTGGTTGGTTGGTTGTTGGTTCACTATGTAAAGCGGCCTTGGGTCCCTTGAAAGGCGCTATACAAATGTCATCTATTATTATTAAAAAAATGAGAACAAAACTGGTCAATGGAAGAACTTTGGGCAAAGTTTTGAATTTCCAGATTTTTATTTTATTTGATTAATTTGATTTTTACTGAAGTTCGTTTTTCTCTTTTTTTGTATAATTTGTATTTATTGACGTTTGTCCACTCATGTACTTTGTTTTTACCTACAGTATAAATAAAACAGGACAAAGAAATATGCATTATTGCACGCCTGAAAACCCAAAAGCACTTCTAAGAAAAAAATAATAATTAAAGAAAAAAATATAAATAAATTGTATAAAAAATTACAAATATACAAATGAACAGCAAGAAAGCAGTTTTTTCTTTCTTTCTTACGGCCGTCTACACTACAGGCATCAAAACATCTTGAAGCTGGGCGTGTCTGAAGCTTGGCGATTTCTCGCGCCCAAGGCGACCAACAACCAATCACATGAATCTCCCGCCCCCGACATACAAAGCAAAAAACCATGGGGATTTTATGCGAGCAATATATAAATATATATAAACTCCCCAAACAGGCGAAAACCTACCAGTTTCACCCACTGTCTCTGCCACCTCCCTCCATTTCTGGTTCCTCCGGTTTGTATCCCGGTAAATAGTTCTGGTCGTAAAGAACCGGGTGATTTGCTACCGTAATTTCTCGTTTGGAATATGAGGAAATGAACTGCGGTCTGGCTCTCCCAGCTTGCACGCGGTTTGATTGGCTAGCGCTTGTACTGGTGGGATTTGCATAAACGGGATTTGATAGGCTGATGCCAGCTTCGAAAGCATCGGGAGCATCAAAAGTTGAACATTGCTCAACTTTTGATGCTCACGATGCTTGCAAAGCCGCTCCCCACAATGCAGTTCGGCGAAGATTCAAAATCTTCTACGTCACCCCATTCAAGTGAATGGGCGAAGCGTTGAAAGCATTTTTCGATGCCTGTAGTGTAGACGGGCCGTTAATGAGATGAAACAAGGTTTATAAAAACATTATCTGGGATTAAATGTATCTAAACTGGTCGATGGAGTACTTTGGGCACAGTTTTGAATTTTCAGTAGTTTTTATTTTAATATTTTTCCTTTAATGACTTGTCCACTCATGTACTTGATTCAAAACACAAATGTATTATTTACATACAGTATAAATAAAACAAGACAAAGAAATAAGCGTAATTGTACACCTGAAAATACAAAAGTACTTTAAAATAAATAAATAATAATTAAAGAGAAATATATAATATTTGCATGAATGCAGATTTATTTTCTGAATGCAATGCATACACTACAACTAGCATATACGTTAGATCTACTTTAATAATTGTAATATAGTTAACATATTATTATAAGTATTGCATCAGGTTTCGATATCTACAGATAGGCAAAGAAAGTACTTGAACTGTGCTTTATAAATAAACTCACCTTAGTTATCAACTCTACAATACCAATAAAGGTTTGGGATTTGAATCCTAGAATCTCACCTTGTGTTTCTCGATGGTGGCTTTCTCTTTCTGCGCGGTGCAGAAGTCCAAACACACGCCCAGCATGGCCAGCGTGACGGGGCTGGGGTCCAGACTCAGCAGGGTGCCGACGTACTGGTCCACCAGACCTGGGTTCTGAGAGGGAGCAGAGGGCGATTAATACCAGGAGAAATTAAAGATGGAGGAACCATCTCGTTTTCAAGGGGGTCATTCACACAAAGTCTGCACACTACTTCTACTGCTACTACTGCAACTAAAACAACAACAACTACTACTACTACATCAACAACTACTGCAACTACAACTACATCAACTACTACTACTGCAACTACAACAACAATTACTACTACTACTACATCAACAACTACTGCAACTACAACTACATCAACTACTACTACTGCAACTACAACAACAATTACTGCAACTAAAACAACAACAATTACTACTACTACTACATCAATAACTACTGCAACTACAACTACATCTACTACTACTACTACATCAACAACTACTACTACATCAACAACTACTGCAACTAAAACAACAACAACTACTACTACTACTACATCAATAACTACTGCAACTACAACTACATCTACTACTACTACTACATCAACAACTACTACTACATCAACAACTACTGCAACTAAAACAACAACAACTACTACTACTACTACATCAATAACTACTGCAACTACAACTACATCTACTACTACTACTTCTACTGCAACTAAAACATCAACAACTACTACTACATCAACAACTAAAACAATTACTACTACTACTTCTACTGCTACTACTGCAACTAAAACAACTACTACAACTACATCAACAACTACTACTACTGCAACAACTACTACTACAACTACTACTACTGCAACTACAACAACAACGACTACAACTTCTACAACATTTACAACAACAACAATTACTACAACTGCAACTACGACAACAACTGCAACAGAGAATACAGAACTGAATAAATGTAAAAAAGGAAATAAAAGGGACAGTGTAGATAACAGTGAAAACGGTAGTCTACATGTTAAATCAAGAGGCAAGCACATGCTAATTAAATACATTATGTACAAAAGTAGATCAAAGTAAAGATAAAATAAAAGTATTTTTAGAACCAGACGTTTGATACGAGGAGAACCATCTCGTTTTCAAGGGGTCATAGTGACGACCCCTCTGTCCCTGTAACGATTCTCCCTTCTCCCTATCAGCACTGACTGAGGGCCCCCCTCTCTGTTGGAGTACTCTGGGAGAGCAGCTACCTGGTCTATGCTTCGGTTTCCCCTTTGTTTTAGTTTGGCATTCAACACCTTGCATCACACCGGGGTCCTTCTCACTTCTCTTATTTTTCATTTCCTCGGTCTCACCGGAAGTTGATTTGTCTGCGCCATCTTGAGTAGCGTCCCAATGGCCTTATTTCTGCCCGAGGAGCGAGGAGCGATAATGGAGGAGCGATAACCGAGGAACCACCGATCCATCCTCCGATTAAATCCTCAGACACTCGCGCCGCCCCCTTACTGTGTATCGCTCACTGATTGGACGAGGCAGCGCATCGTCCAATCAGTGAGCGATACACAGTAAGGGGGACATTTTCATGATCGCTTTTTTCGTTTTACATTTTCATTTATTGTCATTTCCATTCAGTCAGTCATTAAGTGCTATTAAAATGTTAATGTGCTACATATCCAAACAAACAAACAAAGTGTGCAATCCAATGAATGTTAATCTAACTGGGTTTTGATAGATAACATATCTCTTTTTCTTCTCTCAATTATTGTATTTCTATTGTGCACTCTAATCAATATTAATCAAACTATTGTTCGTTTATACATTTTAAGAATGGCGTTTATCTTTTTTGAGAATTAGTTCTTATTTTATTTTATTTATTGGGGTCTACAACAGATGATACAAATGTTTGTGTCAGTAAATGTGTACTAACAGAGGCGGCGGGGGGGTGTGTGGAAATAACGGGGACAGAGCTGCTGTCAGACGATCAGCTGTGCAGCGTCATCACAAACGGACGTCGCTTCACGTGACGCTCCGGAGGAAAGGACGTCTCATTGCTCTTAAAACTCATTTCCCTGCTTCTCGTGGTTTCCTTGCGTCCCTCCATGCTTCCCTGGTGGGAGGGACTAAACGCAGGGAAACGACGCAAGTGAGGGAAGCAAGGATTCCATTTAACCGAAGTGAGAAGGGCCCCATGTTCACACAACCACACTACTCTCACGGAGAGATACCGCAGGTCCTTCCTTCCTGCAGCGGTCAGACTATACAACCAGCACAGCCCCTAGTTGACCCCCCCCCACACACACACACACACACACACACACCACAACACAGACTAGATCACCCCTTGCTGCTAAATACCAACAAACTATGTGCAATATATAAATGCCATTAATAACTAATATATACCTGGCTGCTAAATCTTAAGAGCTGTTACAGGATGTGTCTTTTTTATTTCTTTTTTATTATGTAACGTAGTACTTTTCTTTAATGCATGTCACATATTTAACATGTGTAACATTAAGCTATCGGTGGCTCTTTTTCCTGCTGTAACTACGCACATCCCTCCGTGGGACCAAAGGTATTCTGATCTTACTGACTAACACACCCCACGATGGTAGCTCTTTTTGGTTTGTTGAATCCGTTACAATAAATATCTTTCATTATATTGTTGTTCTTTCCACGTTCTTTGCCATGACAGTCGTTCACACAAAACTACAGAAAACACAGCACATAATGCAAAACGTTCCTATACACAAGAATAAAGAAGCTCTCCAAAGAACCGTTCACCATGAACATCTTGAGCTTTCATTTGTAGTCAAACATATATATATTATGTCTAAATGGATTTCGCAGATGTATTACTCACTTCCTTCCACAGCTGACTGAGGTGTTTGAGGCTGGATTTCTGGGCCGTGGACTTGGCTCCGCCCACAACATCTGCCACCAGAAGGCTCTGAACCTCCACCTGAAAGAGGAAAGCAGCACTTTAAATATGAAACACTGACGCCGGTGATTACAAACAGACATATTGATACTGACCATTTTCTTCCAGACAGGTCCTTCTTTTTTCTCCGGGGATGAGAACACAGCGGGGACCAACAGGCAGGTCCAGGACAGCCCGATGAAGGCAGCAGAGCCGGCGCTTTTACTGCAAATATAACAATATTTTTAATACAGCAGCTTTCAAACAACAAAGAGATAAAAGAAAGAACATGAAGTGGACTAGAAACCACATTAAAGGTCTCCTATTATACTACTAGTTTCTACTCAGCAGCTAAATGCTGCCGTGATGAAACACCATCATGTTCCAAACCACATCAAGGATTATTTCTGAAACAGTATGGAGCTCAGGTTTTACAACAGGAGTTCCTTTTTACTTCCTGCTTCTTCACACACATGCTCTCCAGTACAGGTTAGCTCTGAGTGTTAGCGATGCTAACGTAAACAAAGACCATATTACGTCCAAAACGTCGGGCATTGTTTCTGATAGCAACGTTTCTGATTGGGCCGTGGGTCCACATTTCAGATATTACGTCATATCGGCCGCAAATCTGGATCAGCTCCGTTTTTAGAGATTTGGGTACGGAGGAAAAGAGAGAGGGTTTTATTTTCTGACGCTGCGTGAGTTCCCCGACACACCGGGGACACATCTTTATGTATAAAAGACATCACAAAGTGCATTTTGCATGATAGGTCCCCTTTAAACCCTCTGAATCTTGAGTACCTGGGCGTTCCGGTCTTGCTGATGACTCCGCTGCTCAGCAGGCTGTGGAGGAGACTCGTCACCAGGACGTCCGGCTGGGTTTCTGCCAGCTGGGAGATGACGGAGAGCAGCTCTCTGCGGGAAGCGGCATCTCTGAGGAGAAAACAAACACACACACACACACACACACACACACACACACACACACACACACACACACACACACACACACACACACACACACACACACACACACACACACACACACACACACACACACACACACACACACACACACACACACACACACACACACACACACACACACACACACACACACACACACGTTGCAGCAACAGGTTATAGATTATAAAACATATTGTGCTGAATTGACGCTCGATGTGTTATTTTGCATTAAATTCACTTTAAATGTTGCACGTTTCAGAGAACATCTATCCTGCCTTTTGGTGAAAATTAAAACATGTTATTGTTCATTTCAATAAAACTGAGAAATACTTTTTGTTAATATATATATTTTTGTCCAAGTTTTGCCTGAATAAATGTAATTTTCTTTGCAGGTCAACACAGAGGATAAACGCTGATATAATACATAACATCCACGGTGGGCCGATGCAACCGTAACCGAGCAGACCTAAATATGGAGTGTGGACTTCTACGTGGAGAGGTCCCAGTTCACCTCCTGCCCTGCCGTGGTGCCCTTGAGCCAGGCACCGGACATCCCCCTTCCCCCCTCACTCCCACTGCTCCTAGTACTAGACTCCTGGTACTAGGATGGGTTCAAAGCAGAGGACACATGTCACTGTGTGCTCTGCAAAATGTTGGGCTGAAATTGTATCCGTTTATTTTTGCATTAAGCTCCTTTTAAATTTGGCAGAGAAGTAAAACAACTCAAACATCTATTGTTAAATTCATTCAAACTGAGAAATATTTGTTGTATATATATATTGTTGTCCACGTTTTGCCTGAATGAATCTTTTTGTTCTTAAATGTGCCTTTTTTGCATTCGTTGATAACTCTTCAAATGTAAAACCTCCATAATGCTGTACACGCTTTCCTCTGCTGGCAAGCCATCATTCCCTCCACATGGAATCAAGACCCCAAACAGCACACTCAATATTAGGGCTGTGCAATTAATCGTATTTTAATCGCAATTACGATTTTGGCCTGCCACAATTACGAAAACAACATAATGGAAAAAACAATTATTCTTCTTTGCGAGGTTGTGACAGTGCAACATATTTGATCTCATTTATTTTTATTTATCATATGTAGTAGCTTCTGGAAGTGCACTTATTATTTTGATATTATTCATTTAAAATGTATCATTTATTTTTGTATTGGTTTTTCAGTTGAATTATACGTTCAGGGTAATCAACAGTTAAAAAGATATATTTTTATATATAATAAATGGATGTTTTCAAAGTCATTTAATAATCGTGATATCAATTATTGACCAAAAATAATCGTGATTATGATTTTTGCCATAATCGCACAGCCCTACTTAATATATATAATATCCTGCTTTATATTTAGTTCAACAGTTAAATTCAATTCAATTCAATTCAAATTCAAAACCTTTATTTATACAGATAAAACCCATTGAGATCATAGACCTCTTTTACAATGGTGACCTGCTTCAATTAGTTCCGAACATGAATACAAACATGACAGAAAACAAAGGACATTATATGATACTACAGTTTGTATACTAGTAGCATTTACAGACACCAATATTTTCTGATTGTATAGCGTCTATCCTAGCTTTAAAACATGAAATGGAATCAAACTGCTTAGCTTAAAAAGATATATGTTCAAATTATTATTAGTATTTGTTTTAAAGTTCAATAAATGGATGTTTTCAAAGTCATTTAATAATCGTATTTAATAATCGTGATATCAATTATTGACCAAAATAATCGTGATTATGATTTTTGCCATAATCGCACAGCCCTACTTAATATATATAATATCCTGCTTTATATTTTGTTTACTGTAAATTGGTATTTCAACATGTATATTTTCAACTTTTTTAATGCTGTTTAATTTCTATTTGAGATGTTTTTACTCTATGAATGTCTCTTATGTGCAATGCCTTGTGTTTTATGCTGCTGCAACGCAAACATTCCCCACATTGGGGTCAATAAAGCACATCTCCTCTCATCATTGAAAATATAAGATGCCTAAAATGATTATTGCATCATGCTGCAGAAGCTTCTATCAATCCCAGATATCAACGAGGACAGGCTCAACAACACAAACACCCCCCTCTCTATGCAATGCAAACATATCATTTAATATAAACGAAAACTAAATGAGGTTTAATGGATTATGAATCCAGCTTCCACTCACTTGTATCGGTGCGGCGTGAGACAGAAGAGCTTGCATAGTCCTTTGATGGCAGGCTCAGGTAACTCTGGAGAAAGAGAGATTTGAAAGAAGCGTTAGTGGTGATGATAGCATTGAGTTTAAACGTTAACGGGTGGAACATGAGACGTTAAATCCCCTCACCTTTGCCCTTTGTACACAGCTTCAGCGCCCCAAAGATCTCCTTGCGCTCCTTCACACTGGCTGTGGTCACATTGGCAGCAAATTTCTTCAGTGTGTCTGAAACCTGGAGAAATAAAACACAAGAGGACAAATGGAAAGGGTGGTTATATTCACACGTTAAGAACATTTTGTCATTTAAAGTGTGTTATTGTCACATGAACAGCAAGTACAACCAAGCAGTCATTGTTTGTAATGCTCATTAAACATGTATATAAAAGACGGATATGTGCAATAACACGGCCAGTAAATATAAAACCTTTTAGAAGTACTCAGGTCTTATATTTGAGTAGTAGTAGAAGTACTCGTGCTTAACATACTTGTGCAACGTTTATGCTTTATTTGCATTTCTTTCAATATATTATATATATATATAATGCCACTTGTACCAAAGCAAATTCTTCACATGTAGAAACCTACTTGGTAATAAACGGATTCTGATATTACAAGCTGCTTCAATATTTGTATATGATCACAAAAAACTGCTATTTTCTTTTGATTAAATAGCTATTTATATTTTATCCTATTTATTGATTTTGTCGTCTTTTATTCTACTGAGGGATCAGCATTTTATTATGTATTATCATACCTTTAACTGCTGTGTCTATGTAAGTGTTAAACTGTTGTTAAAGCCTTACCCAATACACCTAATACATGAAAAGAGCTATACAAATTAAGCTTATTAATATTATTATGACTTTGTTTTTAATACGGTATGGTGTTGTTTTAACCTATAGTTGTTGTATTGTTAATAAAGTGTGCCTACTTTGTTATATAGTATGTAAGTCTACTCTTCTTACTTGAATCTGTCTTTTTGCTGTAATGCAGTACATGTCCCCGTTGCAGGACAAATACAGGATTTTAAACATCTGGTTAAATGTGAAATATGACTAATGTAAGATTTAGGTTTGTTCTTCAAATTACTTTTAAAATACAAAGACAAAAGTGTTCCCTTTTTCGGGCCTGCAAAAAAAGTGAATAGCAGTGCACACTGAGGTCCATGTCAACAAAAACAATCAAACTATCCCTTTGTCAACATGCTAACTAACTACAGTAGATTTAAAGAACCCACTCTTTATCATTAAACTCCTTATAGAAGGCGTGGCTTAGTGTATCATCACACGAGATGCTAGTCTGCTTAATGTAGGTTCATTCAAACAGTTTACATTAAAGGACATTAAGTTAAAACACCAGAAGATATAGATTACAAAACAATAAATCATGACTTAAAACCTAATCTCAATGCTACCGTTAGCATGGTGACGTCACAGCACGTTAGCGCCCAGCTAACAGCCTGCTATCAGCTTTTATTGAACACCGTCTTTAAATCGCGAAACACAGCAGTGTGTTTATGAAGCGGAAGTAAACATATACTTGATTGGGTTTTTGTAGCATTCTTGAATTCATGAATGAAAGCGGAAAATGTTTTAAAAACCAGCCTCACAAACCTGCGTGTCCGCCGCCATCTTGCCGGTCTTGCTGCAGGAAGAACTTGCCGATGTCACTTCCGGGTCACAAAAGCTACATACGTGATTTTTTTTAAATTGTAATTTGATACTTATTTATTTATCTTTAAATAACAATATTATAAGTATTTATTGTTTTATTCGTGTATTTAAATCGTTTATGTGGAGTTACATGTCTGAAATATTTTTGTCAATAAAAAAATTAAATCGAAACCAAAAGCAGAGCTGGGAGAAGTACTTAGATCTGGTACTTGAGTAAAAGTACAAGTACTCAGATCTTTATTCCACAGGCCATAAGACTGCTAAACACATGAGCTCTGTAAAGTGCCTCCATAAACATTCATCTGTTTGTCATCTTGCAATTGACTTATTTATCTAAATAGTTATCACCGCAATAAACCGTATTTAATTACGTCTAAATGTACAATATTTAATTTCATGCTCTGTTCTATTCTATTTGCATGTATAAAGACTTATTGCACTATTTTGTATTTGTATTTTATATGTTGCATCCTTGATGGAGCTCAGGTCAGAAGAATTTCATTGCCATTTTTACACTGTAGCTTTGTGACAATAAAACCTTTGGACCTTTGTAGTTGAGTAAAAGTAGAAGTACTCAGATCTTGTTCTTGTGTTAAAGTAGAAGTACTCAGATCTTGTTCTTGTGTTAAAGTAGAAGTACTCAGATCCTGTACTTGAGCAAAAGTAGAAGTACTCAGATCTTGTTCTTGAGTAAAAGTAGTACCAGAGTGTAGGAATATTCGGTTACATGTATTCAAAATGTTCCTCAAGTAAAAGTAGAAAAGTATCATCATCAAAATATAGTGAAAGTACCAAAAGTAAAAGTAGTCATTGTGCAGATTGGTCCATTTCAGAATAATATATATGACCTTTTATTCCAGTAAAACTAAAGTCAATAGAAGTGTTTCAACAAAAACAAAACCAGGAAAAAGGTTGAGTCATAACTGATCAAATAAAGTAAACTGTTTTAACTCATTGCGCAATAAACCATACCAACCATTGACCAGCAGGAGGCACCGGTAATCCTCACCTGCTTTACTGAGACTGCACATTAGCTGCATTAACAACAGACACTGCATTTGTTCCCACTGCTGACAGCTCAGACTCACATGTTCTCACTGCAAAGGCTGCAACTTACTATTACTATACTTACTATAATTATTTACATCATTAATCACTCTGAGGCTGCCATTTTCTCTGGAAAAAAGTTAAATTGCCTTCCCAGTTTCTCAAATTCCAAGGTGTGCATGTCTTTAAAAGTCTTGTTTTGTCAGTGAAAAAACTCCAAAAATATTCACTTTGATATGATATAAAACTGAGAAAATTAGGGAGTCTCCACATTTTTTAAATTTTTTAATTATTTATTTATTTGTACTTTGTTATAATTCTTAATTTGAGTGAGAAAAAAAAAAGGAAAAAAAGGAAATATATATATATATTATTGTTGTATGTTTTTGTTTCTGACATGTTCAATAAATTGACAACAAAAAAAAAATTGAGAGGCTGAAAACAACAATTAGGGACATTTTTGCAAAAAAGTTGATTATTTTTTCAGTCTATTGACAAATTGTTACAGCTCTAGTTCAAAATAACCTTTTGGACTATTACTAGTTTTGATTTAAAGTGGTAATTTGACTAAAACACCATCCAATTTCACTCCAACAAATGCTCACAGGAGTCTTTGGTTTCTTTTAAACACATTTTAATGAATCAGAGAAAATAAATCTACATTACAATACATCAGTTCATGTTTTACAATGCGAGTTATCTACAGCTGCATAAACTCTCCTCTGTATTCACTCACAGATGTACAAAAAACCAGCAAAATATATATCAGCCCTCATTATGTTTGGTGAGTAATTCACGACCAGATTGCGAGGATGCAGGATTATTGGCTGCATCCACTTGTTGAGAAGACACAGGTGAACATGAGAGGGAGAGGACGGAGTTAAAGTTTGTTTTCTTGATATCTAGGACAAAGTGCACACACAGAATATGCTAAATAAATCCAGAAATAGTGACATTTCAAAAAGTAGCTACAGATGATACAACTGCATAGTTCTTCCATTGTTAATTAACGTATACTCTGCATTTGTTACAGTATTTTATTGTACTTTAATTGTTATATATTTATGTTTTTTGCACATTTTTGCTTGATTTCTTTTCATTTTTATTTATTTGACTGTGTTAATGATATGCACCGAAACACCAAAGCAAATTCCTTGAGTGGAAGACTTCTGATAATGGCTGTGAAACCCTTTAACCCAGGGGGGTCAAACTCAATTTCATTGCGGGCCACATTCGCATAAAGGTTGCACTCAAAGGGCCGGTTGTAACTATATAAATATATAATATATAAAATAATGTATTATATTACATTATTGTCTCTGAATTGGATTATTATCGGATAGGATAATAACTTAGTAATTAATAATTACGTCTGAAAGCAGAAGTCCAGGGCAAATAATTGCAAGTCTCTTCAGTGCGCATTTCACAAAACGAAATGCATTGTGGGACATGTAGTTTATGGACAACCTGCTTCTTTAAAGTGGCATGTAACCGTATAATAAACGTATTATATTCTTTGCAAGCTCTTGCGGGGCCACATAAAATGAAGTCGTGGGCCGGATTTGGCCCCCGGGCCTTGAGTTTGAGACCCCTGCTTGAACCCCTCTGTGTAAAGAGACATCCTGGATCATTGAGTTGACCAGTGGTCGGTCCGTTCTCCACTTAAGTTCAGATGTTTTTTATTAACTTTTTTCGTATTAACGTTCCTCTGTTTCTACCTAGAGCTTCTCTTTGTCAGGGCATTAATATTTCGCGCATACTTTATTCATTTTGGATGTTAAACGGCTGACAGGTGACCGGGAAACGCTGATATATATTGATGGCTGCTGCTGTCGCTATAAACAATATCCCACAAATATGGCCGTGATGTCCCTGAATGCACCACGGTTCCAATTCCCTATAAGGTCATTAATAACCACTGTACATTATGCCTCACATAACCATATCCAAATGTAACTTATATCACCATATCGTTATAATACAGATATCGCCCATCCATATCCAGATACAGCTAGAGAAAGCCCCCCTTATTAAGATGTTATTTTAGGACGTGTGGGCCTGACGGAGACTCCATGTTTGAGAAGTTATTTCAAAAAGCAGCAAAGCAATGAATGGTACCATATCAACTGAAGTGAAGAGTGGGATCGACTATCCCATAAATATATCTTAAAGACACAGAAATATTCCACACTAAGCCCTGCAGGAGAGACGTCCCCCACAGACGGAACTCCCCTATATCTTAGTCCTGATGTTTTATGTTCCTTTTATCAGCAGAAAAGCTTCTTCTTCTTGCAGGTTATCCAACTATGGTGAAGATTATCGTTATTATAATAACGATGGCGACCACCACTCCGATGCCGATGAACACGTAGCGCATCTTCTTGTTCTCACAGCGCTTCTGTTGCATCACCTTGTTGGTTTTCTTCTCAAATCCTTTAGCCTGAGGAGAAAACACACAGAAAAAGAAGCGGTTACATTACCCATGTTGTGTTATTAAAATCAGAACAAGACAAGATGTATATGAAGAGCTTTGGTATTAATAAAATGATTGCTATAAACTGGCTTGAACCTCACTGCTTTGGACCAATGGACACAAAGACTTGGTTGTAAACTGTATTTAGAGAAATGGTCACCTGGTATTTGGCAAAGTGAATCTATTGTAAGCATCTACATTTTTTATATTTCTTAAGCATTGTTGATAATTACTATTGTACTTTTTGATTATATTATATATCTATATTTGTATATAACAGTATGATATTGTATCTGTACCATGTTGTGTGAGACTCACTGTCAAGGAACTTGTTCGAATAAATGTTAAAACAATAATTAAAATCAGAAGTAGAAACCCTTTACGTCCCAGGGGCATTTACAGTGTTACAGCAACGGATGTGCTGTAACACTGTAATGTAATGTGTGCAATGTGTTTGAAAGGTCTGTGTGAACCAAAAGCTGAAACACTAACTCCTGTAAAACCTCCAAAGCCAACAAAGCCATACAAATCCAGAAAATATATTTTGTAATTTTCTCATCCAATATGTCTGTACTACCAACAGATCACATGACTACGATGGGGTCAAGCAGGTCACATGGTTTCCCACAACGCTGTTACATCACACTGTGGAGCATTCATCACATTATAAAAGAGTTCACACTTTAAACACAGCACAGTGAAGGCAGGTGAAAAGCTGCATTAGCCGGACATATCACAAATCAATTGTAAACAAAACACCAGAAGAAGACGCCACATTTGCACACCACTAAGGATTTATTTTTTGCGCAAAACTAAGATCTCATGTTGGATTTTCTGTGTTTTTGCATCCATTTAAAGTCAGATTTTACTCTCTGTGGGCTGATTTTGATTAAGCTTAAGTTTCAATTTTGAAGTTTTAGTGGACTGGATGGACAGGTGGCTTATTTTTTCGCAAATATGGCCTCTTTCTGCTTAAAACTGCCATCGTTGATCCGGAAAACGTCAGAAATGGATTCAGCATCCTCAATACACTCCAAGACCACTCCAAAATTGTCCAAATATGCCATTACTGCTAATTAACACAACTTATGCTAATTGGTGTTAATTGGCTAACATTTGTGAGTTAGCATCCGGCAGTTCCTATGTGCTGGCGACCCAACTATACATCTCTATCATAACACTCTGGGGGTAACTATGCTGGCCATTAAACTAACAGGACTTGTCAGTTTTTCTGCATGTTAGCTGTTTCAGTGGGAACGATGCGACCCCCCCGCTGACCCCGGGCGGACGCTGGCACACCAGCTTCATTCATCTTAGGAAACAATAGGAAATACCTTTCTAAACATAGCACCATAAAACATAATCAGGATGTAAATTGTACATTTGTTTTCTTCTCCAGCTCAGGAGTAATTATAGACATCAATATGACATTTCCTCCTGTTAACCCGTGTGGAAGTAGTTTCACACAGAAACACTTAGTATGTATGTTACAATATTTACCTGTAGGGATGTGTAATACATATCTTTAATCCAACACATTTGGAGAGTTATGTGTAACTTCTAACTTAAGGTGAGACACTTTGATCATAAACTGGCAGTAAGTACATTTACTAGAGTACTGTTCATAAGTACAATTAAAAAGTACTGATACACACCTGAACATCAGCAGGAGAGGATTCTTTAAAGTAGAGACACTACATACTCATATACACCTGAACATCAGCAGGAGAGGACTCTTTAAAGTAGAGACACTACATACTGATATACACCTGAACATCAGCAGGAGAGGACTCTTTAAAGTAGAGACACTACATACTGATATACACCTGAACATCAGCAGGAGAGGACTCTTTAAAGTAGAGACACTACATACTGATATACACCTGAACATCAGCAGGAGAGAACTCTTTAAAGTAGAGACACTACATACTGATATACACCTGAACATCAGCAGGAGAGGACTCTTTAAAGTAGAGACACTACATACTGATATACACCTGAACATCAGCAGGAGAGGACTCTTTAAAGTAGAGACACTACATACTGATATACACCTGAACATCAGCAGGAGAGGACTCTTTAAAGTAGAGACACTACATACTGATATACACCTGAACATCAGGAGGAGAGGACTCTTTAAAGTAGAGACACGACATACTGATATACACCTGAACATCAGCAGGAGAGGACTCTTTAAAGTAGAGACACTACATACTGATATACACCTGAACATCAGCAGGAGAGGACTCTTTAAAGTAGAGACACTACATACTGATATACACCTGAACATCAGCAGGAGAGGACTCTTTAAAGTAGAGACACTACATACTGATATACACCTGAACATCAGCAGGAGAGGACTCTTTAAAGTAGAGACACTACATACTGATATACACCTGAACATCAGCAGGAGAGGACTCTTTAAAGTAGAGACACTACATACTGATATACACCTGGACATCAGCAGGAGAGGACTCTTTAAAGTAGAGACACTACATACTCATATACACCTGAACATCAGCAGGAGAGGACTCTTTAAAGTAGAGACACTACATACTGATATACACCTGAACATCAGCAGGAGAGGACTCTTTAAAGTAGAGACACTACATACTGATATACACCTGAACATCAGGAGGAGAGGACTCTTTAAAGTAGAGACACGACATACTGATATACACCTGAACATCAGCAGGAGAGGACTCTTTAAAGTAGAGACACGACATACTGATATACACCTGAACATCAGCAGGAGAGGACTCTTTAAAGTAGAGACACTACATACTGATATACACCTGAACATCAGCAGGAGAGGACTCTTTAAAGTGTTCTCCTCACCTTTTCATGAAGGTCCTCAGCTCGGGTCTCCAGGTCTCCCAGTTTATCCGACCTCTCGTCGACCTTGTTCATGTTCTCCATCATGATGACCTTCACCTCATCCGCATCGTCCTGGACCTGCTGCAGGCGGCTAGTCCCGTTCTGCCACACACACACACACACACACACACACACACACACACACACACACACACACACACACACACACACACACACACACACACACACCACACACACACACACACACACACAACACACACACACACACACACACACACACACACACACACACACACACACACACACACACACACACACACACACACACGGTTACACAGTGAAACTAGAGACACTTCAAAAAAGACAACAGGACAAAATCACGTCTAATATTCACAAATTAAATCTCTCATAGTTGCGTGTGAAATCCAAAATGGCTGATTTCCTGTTGGGTTTAAGATATGACACCAAGAGGCTTTTCTTTGCGTCTCACCATGCTTCATATACCTTCCAAATGTCATACTTGTAGGTTGAAGCACAACGAGGGGCTGAATTTTAGCCACTTTTAGAGCCTTTTTACCCCAAATCAGACACAGGGACAATATTTGAGTCGCACTGAGCTCTGTCGAAGTTATTTTTCTGCACAATGCCACCACTGTTCTGCATCGAGGCCAGTGAGAGAGTTATACTCAGCCAGTGAAATGTTTGTTTATTGTTCCTGCCGCTCTGGAGGAGTTTTTGTGAAGTCTGGGGTCATGGGAATTAAAAAGACGAGGGCATTGACCCCAGAAAGAGGCTCAATAATGGAAACACTGCATATTTGTTTCTCTAAGCCAGGATATGTTGGCCCTGCTGCTGTGATCTTCAACACGTTTCTGTTTGCATATCTCTCTCTTGTGAGTGAGCATACTGCACTCTCATTGCTACAGGTTAAAGTGTTCTTTGTTCTTATTAATGCATCAGGCGTGGAGGTTATATTTTGGATTCAATCTGGCATTTCTTCATGTTTCTTTGTGAACAGTTTGCAAAAGAAGTGAAACGTTGCCTGTAGTTGTGCAGACTTGTTGCTGCTTGATGCTATCAGGGTGGATGTTAAACACAGACGGAGCATTTCCTCCTGCTGCGACATGTGTCTGAGCAGATTAAAGCAACATTCATTCATTTGGAAAAGAAATAAGGATTTTAAAACAGTGTTGAGAAGGTTATTTATGAAATGTGTAATGTAATAAGAAATGCAATTATTTGCAGATTTGAAGGCTTTCTTTCCATGTGCAGCTCTTGCAACATATAATATACTGAACGATATACAAAGTAAAGCAAGTAAAATGCAGGAGTTAGAGCAGATTAAAAAAATAAAATAAACTGGGATAACGGCACAGCAAAAAAATAGATATGTGTTTTTATATCCGATGTGTTATTCCCTTTCAAAACCTATCGACATGTCAGTCAAAGTGATGGTTGTCTTTTCTCCAAATGATGCAGCCGTATTTGTCCAAAACCAGCTTACATTAAGCAGTAATCTGAGCCTTTGTTTAAGATCATTTGTATTCATTATTGCAGCTTTTCCACACACTTTAAATATATAAAATGTATTAAATATTGCGACTTCGATATTGCACAAGTCCAAATTACAATTTTCAAATCAAATCAAGTTTTATTTGTAGAGCACATTTAAAAACCATTTTGGTCGCGCCGTGCTTTACATGTAATTTAAACACATCAAAACACATTACATCACAATAAATCACAACAGATCAAAACAACACATGGAACAGTCAGGAGTCATGACCCCACTCTAACTAGAAGGCCAGAGAGAAGTAGTGTGTCTTCAGTGTGGATTTAAAAGCCCCTCTGGTCTGGGCCGACCTCACATGGAGGGGAAGAGTGTTCCAGAGCCTGGGGCCAGCTGCTGCGAAGGCTCGGTGCCCTCGGGGTTTGAGCCTGGTCTTAGGCACTACCAGCCAGATGACGTTTAGATTAATTGTGCAGCTTATTTTTCAGCAAAAGAAACAAGAAGCTCGTAAAGTGCAGTAAAAACTTTAACGCAGACTCCATGCATTACATGAATGCAGACAATGTTGTTTTAATGTTATTATAGTGTTCTTAAAATAGTTCTCTATCTATGTTTTACTTTTACGTATGCACCATGACATCAAGTCAAATTCCTCGTGCGTGTCAACCTACCTGTTGATAAACCTGATTCAGACTCTATCGAGAAATGAAGGTGAAAACACGGAGCAGGTGTATCCAGATTTGTGAGTAACACCTTGTGTTTGTTCTGCCGGGAGTAGAACCACAGCATGATAAGAGGCCGGATATTTGGAGGACATTCAGAGAGACTTTAAAGCTTTTTGCATCCTGAAAGGTTTCTCCTTCACCTCCGACCCGAGAGGAAGGCGGCAGCGACAGGAAACCGACAGATAGAACGAAAACAAGCTCGCCCTCTGCGCCTCCATTTCATATCTCACAGATTTCACTTCCTGTTGCTGCAAACACAAGTTCACTGTTGGCTAAGAATAGCAAGAAGACGTGGAAAAAGTTGCTATTTTATTTAAGTCTTGCACCATATGACCCCACTTCAAACTGTCACTTCTAAGTTCGACATATTTAACATATCCATAACTATCAATGTTTGTATATTTCTAGGGTTACTTACATTTTTTTAATCGTATTGTTATTATCCTTTAATAAATTCGTACCTGTCCGATCCCCCTTATTATTGATGTTGCTGCTAAAAATGTATTATTATTATATCAGATATTAAAACACTAAAGGACTCGAGGATTTCATTTAATCTGTACAAGTAGTATCCCTTTGTCACAGCTCTGTTTAAAGAGCGGTGCACTGATGTCCTATTTCTATATTGGACCCTGAAGGCAGCATCGTCCTGGTTCAATTGACAAAAAGCCAATGGGTTTTTTGTAATGGATTTGTACTTCTTCTTTAAAATGCAGCCGTCTTCAGACAGGAAGTGCTGCCCATTCCAGTTCGCCCCCTCCCTCCCTTCCTTCCCTCCCTCCCTCCTGCCTTAATGTACCTGGCATGATCCGGGGAAACCACACCTATCAGATTAGACTCTGCTCATTACTGTGAACACAATGCTGCCTCTAAAGATAATAAAATACATATTAATCATCTATTATCGAGTAGATTTATATTTAAGGACGTATGGAGGTTATTGGGATTAAACCATTGCTCTTGTTGGCGGCCAAAAATGCCAAAAACGTAGTGTTTGGGAGTCTATGGCCATTTCTCATGTGTGGTACAGTGTGTAGGTGTGTGTGTGGTACAGTGTGTAGGTGTGTGTGTTGTACAGTGTGTAAGTGTGTGTGGTACAGTGTGTAGGTGTGGTACAGTGTGTAGGTGTGTGTGTTGTACAGTGTGTAGGTGTGTGTGGTACAGTGTGTAGGTGTGGTACAGTGTGTAGGTGTGTGTGTGGTACAGTGTAGGTGTGTGTGGTACCGTGTGTAGGTGTGTGTGGTACAGTGTGTAGGTGTGTGTGTTGTACAGTGTGTGGGTGTGGTACAGTGTGTAGGTGTGTGTGTGGTACAGTGTGTAGGTGTGTGTGTGGCATATCCCTGATATATCCAGTCTCTGATTGTGTTACGTTATTATGAGAGTGCTCTCATACTTGTTTGATTCTGAAATTGTATATATTTATATAAATATATATGTGTGTGTGTGTGTCCGCATCTGTAGCCTGTTATTGTCTCATTATACCGCACTGTGAATGAATCAAAGTAAATATAGAAGTCATCATGAACACATCTGTCCATCAGACAGAGGGCTGCTGAGCCTCCTGTCATCATTAATGGACGTCTCTTTAAAATGACCGCTCAGAGGAGAGGAGTTCTCATTTCTCTAACCGCCTGCTGCTTCCCCTCCTCTCTCCCCCTCCTCTCTCCACGGTTCCCCTCCTCTCTCCACGGTTCCCCTCCTCTCTCCTCGGTTCCCCTCCTCTTTCCTCGGCTCCTCCGCTCGCATCTCCTAAGACACGAGGGTAAGAGTCGAGGGTAGGAGTCGAGGAGGGGAATTTGAGAAATGAGAAAGGGCCGATGTATACAGAGATATGTAATAACCAAATAAAAGTAATTTAATCAGTTACAGTTGAAGTGGTTTCACGTATAAGGGATTTGTATACAAATAAAATCAAGGACAAATGTCAAGATAAATAAAGAAAATATTTAAATTCAAAAATATATAATGTGAAAAAGACTTGTATTGGAATTCAAACTAGGCTGAACAGAACAAAATGTATATCACGAGAAATGAAATGTAAAAATATTTGATTTATATTTACAAATATGTAGATACTGTTGTTGTATTACAATGACGTGCTGTTTATAAAAGGATTACAATATTCAAGGTGATGTCTTTAACGGTTTCTTTTGTTTTGGTAATAAAACTTAAAACGCTTGTGCATTTTAAATCTCATTGTTTTTGTATGTATACGGAAGATCATGCTTTAAATTTGTAGTTTCTAAACCTATGCTTTTATTTTGGTAATTATTTCAGAGTGAGTCCCCTCAATGTATTTCTACCTGACATCCAACTCACGTGTTTCCAACTCAATAAAATCGCATTTTAAACCTTACTTTTGTTATTTTCTGTATAAATAATCATCATTCCGTTATATATCAACATTTTAAATACAAAGAGTCATGCTTTTTATTTCTATTTCTTAAGATATGCTTTTATTTTGGTGATTATTTAAGAATCTCCTCAATGTATTTCTTCCTGATTTACAACTCATGTGTTTCCAACTCAATAAAATCGCATTTTAAACCTTACTTCTGTTATTTTCTGGTTAAACAATCATCATATATAAAAGGAACACATAGTGTACCCACTTTTTAAGACTTCACCGGCAGGTTGGTGAAGGGAACATTGATTGTGTTCTTAAAATAAAGTGCCCTTTCTCGTTATTTCACATGTTATCTATTACATAAAAGTGATATAAGTTGAGATATGAACTCACCATGTCTGTGGCGCGTGTTGCTGTCTTTGTGCTGACTGTCACCGGATCCGATGCCACTATAAAGAGACTCAGGTCTGTTGAACCAGGAAGCTCAGAAGCTCAGAAACAGGCTCTGAAGCTCGAGAGGAACCAGAGAGGCGTTTGCGGTTTGTCTTGTTATCTCCTTTCTGCCTCTCTCTGTCTCTTTGCTGTCTCTTTGCTCTGTCACTTTCACTTTTGCAGACTACAGAGTGTGTGTGTGTGTGTGTGTGTGTGTGTGTGTGTGTGTGTGTGTGTGTGTGTGTGTGTGTGTGTGTGTGTCTCGTCCTTCAGTCTGCTGGACTCTGAGCTGTGTGTCTGTGATGCGTTCAATGTATTCCCGGAAATGTAACAATTTACTTAAAGCCATGACGCTGACTCGGAATATTCGGTACTTCCCCGGATATGTGTGATTTGTTTACCTGTTGAGCACAAGCCTAATACTGCGAGTTTCCCCCTTTATTTTCCATTCATTAGGTACTATTCATACAATGACATAATTCTACCGGACTTCCTCATTTGTAAGCTGCTTTTTTTAACGAATATATTCAATATATATCAACTTTTTTCAATGTATTATTCTTTTTTTGTATCATGCAATGAAACTGATCACTTGTAATGCAATTACCTGCAATAAAGTATTAAAAAAAACACGTCAGAAAAAAGGCAGTATGATGTGTTTAATTGATTCATATTCACGTACAAATACAAGACAAAATAACAACAATACAAATATATAAAAATAAGATAAAATTACATACAAAAATTGTAAAAGCTTAAATTAAAGAAAACACATGTACAGATACATACTGTATAAACACAAAGAGACACATAGACTTCATTTAAATGTAATACTTCTTTATACTTTGAATGTATTACATTTAACCAATAAACAGTTGTGTTAATAGTACGATTTTATTTTATTAAAAAAAAAGATATATATTTTTATATATTATAAATAAATGTGTATTATAAACTCCTTCCACCCCTACCAATAATGTATACAATTGTACGTAATTGTATTTATTTACTTCCAATTCTTTACAGTATTCTGCTCATCCTGCTAGACTACTTCAACAGGTGTCTTAATAACCAGGGGTCCCTGAATGCAGCATATGTCGACCTCTCCAGTGACTTTCCCTTATCTCCAGAATCCAGCCGGAAACAGAGAGCAGCAGAAACTCCAGAAACACTTTAAATAATACTTTATTTACATCTTTATCATGTTTCTAATGTTAGTGCAATAAAGCCAGAGGGGGAAGTATTCAGGTACTTGAGTTAAAGTATAAGTACTCAGAAACATAATGTTCACGTAATATCCCCACAGGGACTCAGTGGGTCTGAGGCAATACAACATATATTTATATTGACCTTATTGCACTTTATGGTACTTTAAATCCTGCCGTTTATTATATATACTTTAGTTCTGATGTCTGTATATCCTGTAGCTAAACAATGGTGCCTTTGTTTTTGCACTCCAGGTGAATAGGGGTAAAACATTAACCAACAGATATCACCACAAAACTTCCTGGGTTGATTATTTACATTAAGACAATTCTTTTTTGTATTCCAATGTTATGTCTGACCATGCAAATTAAGCGTTTTGATATTAAACAAGTGCTTATTCACATTTGCATAAAAGCAAGAATAAATTGACAAGTGAGCGTCATAGGGGTCATGTGTGTGTGTGTGTGTGTGTGTGTGTGTGTGTGTGTGTGTGTGTGTGTGTGTGTGTGTGTGTGTGTGTGTGTGTGTGTGTGTGTGTGTGTGTGTGTGTGTGTGAACTCATGATAAGGAGCTGACAGCCTGACAACACGTCTCTATTGTAGATATCCACGTCACTATCAGAGCTGCATTCTTTCCGTCAGTCTTTGACTCACTCAGCGCCGACAGCAGAACCTTTATCACTGAGAACAAACATTAGTCAGAGAAGAAGAGTTACTTAAATTCATAGGAAATATAATCTGTTACAATCAGGCGTGTAAAGTAACTAAGTACATTTTATTTTCATTCATTTCATCTCCCATTGTAAAGCGTCCTTGGGTTTCTTGAAAGGCGCTATAAAAATCGAAATTATTATTATTCATTTTGAGGTACTTCTACTTTTACTAAAGTACAAGATCTGAGTACTTCTACCTTTACTAAAGTACACACACACACACACACACACACACACACACACACACACACACACACACACACACACACACACACACACACACACACACACACACACACACACACACACACACACACACACACCCGGGCCCTGAGGTCCTCTGAGCAAGGCCTCCTAAGGGTGCCCCGAACCAGGCTAAAGACTAAGGGTGACCGTGCCTTTGAGGCGGTGGCCCCAAGGCTTTGGAACAAACTCCCCCAGATGATAAAAACCTCGGCCTCAATAGAGATTTTTAAGCGGCAGTTAAAGACACACCTGTTCCGACAGGCCTTTGGGTCGTCGGAGGAGGTGAGTTAGTGGCTGTCTTTTTTATTGGTGTTTTATCGTATGTTTTATCCTATGTATTACCTGCTGCTGTTTTATGCCTTTTATTCTACATTTTATAGTTGTACTTTGAATTGTGTCCTGTGTACTATATTGTAAAGCACTTTGTACATCCGTGTTGAGAAGGGTGCTATATAAATAAAGTTTTACTTACTTACTTACAAGATCTGAGTACTTCTACTTTTACTCAAGTACACGATCTGAGTACTTCTACTTTTACTCAAGAACAAGATCTGAGTACTTGTACTTTTACTCAAGAACAAGATCTGAGTACTTCTACTTTTACTCAAGAACAATATCTGAGTACTTCTACTTTTACTCAAGAACAAGATCTGAGTACTTGTACTTTTACTCAAGAACAAGGGCTGAGTACTTCTACTTTTACTCAAGTACAAGATCTGAGTACTTCTACTTTTACTCAAGTACAAGATCTGAGTACTTTTACTCAAGTACAAGACCTGAGTACTTCTACTTTTACTGAATAACAAAATCTGAGTACTTCTACTTTTACTTAGGTACAAGATCTGAGTACGTAGTAACCTGATACCATCTGTTACTTTTAGATTACCTCAATATCAATGCAGATAAATCCAAGAGAAAATAAGATGTGTTTTACTTAAGTGTATGATGTAAGAAACCGGACAATGTGACCTTGGAAAAGTAAGATATTCAGGATCAAAACCTAACACTGAAACACATGAGCACATGCTACAGTTTACAAAAGCAGAAATAAAATCTGAGCCGACAGAAAATGCTTCGTTTTAGTTTAATACACACAGTTAAGCTCACACACACTATTCTATGAACATATAGGTTCACCTGCTGAATTAAAACAGAGCAAAGGAAGCAAAGGAAGTGAAAAGCATGGAGCAGATTCAGGCAGTAGAAGTAGATTCACACTTAAAGTGTTATCCTACAGAACAGAACAGCTCACAGAGACAACATCTGATCCTTTACAACAAACACTAAATGCTGTTTTCAGGTTTTTAATAACACTGTAATCCGGATAGTGATCCACCATTTCATCAGATTTTGTTATGTCACTTTAAGGCAGTAGTTTCATTTCTTACGTTACGGACGTGAAGCTGAAAAAAGGTCACAGAGGTTCGAAAGTGAATAAGATCAAAAACAGGAAGTGGGGTAATTTTAGATATTCTTCCTAAAACGAATGTGTAAAAGGTAAAAATCCCCCAAGTTTGTGTTACCTAAAAACTAACAGAATTACACGATAAAAGGGTGAATTGAAAGAAAATAGCAACACGGTTTAAAAAATAATAATAATACAATTAAATAACTCACCTGCAATTATCTCAGGTTACTTTTACACATTTTGACAAAAAGTACCAGAGACTTGATGACTACAACAATAAAACTAACTTTATTTTGAAAATATGAATGCAAAACAGGAATTAGAGTCATTTCAACAATCTCCCTAAAACCACATTTGAATCTACCCGAAGTTTCATGAGGTGGATTAATGACAACACATTGCATGACTGGCACATCCTGCATAACACGACAACGACAGCAGCGCCTCAGGCTCAAGTCCCGCCTCCTCTACAACAAGGCAGCACAAGAGAGGCTCGATTCCACCTCTGAGCACCTCTCCAGAGATGCATGGTTGGCGGCTGCTTGGAAGCAGTAGTGGGAGACAGCCGGGCCCTTCCGCATCTATCGCTACATCTGGGACCCAGGAGATGGCGCCATAGGAGGAGACGACCTACCACGCCGGCAATGGACCACACTAAACCGTCTACGAACTGGGGTCGGTCGCTTCAAAACATCAGTGAAGAAGTGGGGCCTGGCAGGCAGTGCTGCATGCGAGTGGGGTGACCCTGAACCAGGGCCGCCCCTCCCTACAGGCCAATCACGCAGGCTGCATGGGGCCCCGCAAATGAAAAAAATGTTTCACTCCTGTCGGTTGGGGGGGGGGGCCTCATCTCACAATGTCGCTTGGGGCCCCAAGTTGGCCAGGGGCGGCCCTGCCTGAACAGACTGCCGAACACATAATCACCACCTGCCCTTTGGACCACCCTCGGAAGCCAGCCTCTTCGACTTAGGACCAGAGATGCGGGCATGGCTACACGACACCGAGTTGGACCTCTGTTACACGAAAGAAGAAGAAGACAAAACCTTGCTTATTCAAAAAAACAAAAAAGAAATTAATTGTGAATAAAATAAACCCCAAGAAAACCATTTTTGTAATAAGACAGAAAAAAATCCATTTAACTCACCTTCAATTAACTCAGGTTAATCTTACATTAAGCTGAACAGGAAGTGACCAAAAAGCACCAAAGAATAAGAAATACTTTATTTGAACAGACTGAACTATGGATAATCAGAAAGAGGATGTGAAGCTGGAAATGAGGAAAGTAATATCAGAAACAAGAAGTGGGTTCATTTGAAACTTTTCAACCTAAAAACCACATGAGAATATTGTTTAAAAAAATCCCACGAAAGTCCTTCAGCTGGAGAAATGAAAAGAGGCTGAAGGACTGTAAATACAAATAATTCATTTACAGTATTTGTACCAAAACACTTCAACCAGGAGAGACGGTTTTGATGTAGGAATATATATTTATTGCCAGGAATACACAAATGAATGTAATGGAGTTTGGGCGATTAGGCCCCGTTGTGCGGGAGTATCATTCGGGAGGGGAGAACCGATCCGATGAAACCCCCCGGGGTCTAGATGGATGGATGGTTGGGGCCGGTCTGAAGGGGAGGGGCTTAGCTTGACCCTGGACTCAGAGGGACAGGAGGT